TTTTTTTTTAAAAACCACACATATTGACATTTTTTTTTTCATTTAGGAATATGAAATTAGATGTTAGTAAGTTGCAGCACATTAATATTTATGGTAATGGTTAGTGTCCAAAATATATTATAAGGCCAAAAGTTTTTGCCAACCCTTCAAATTTTCAAAAACACTTGCACAGGTTATAATAATAATAATAATACAAAAGAGGCTAACAAATTAAAGACTGTCGAAAATCTTCCAAGTAAGCAATACATCTCCGGGAAGTGCCAACTTCACTGCGGGGGCATCGACATATGAGGCGGCATAGAGTGGGGCCCGCCGGAGAAATGCTGAGGAGGTGGTGGCTGCGGCCGCCAGCCAGGTGGAGCAACCATCCCAGCCGGAGGCGGCGGCGGCCTGAGAAGACCTGGATTCATTTGTTGAGGAGGTGGTGGCGGCATCATCCCCCTGTACTGGTGCTGCATCTGTGGTGGAGGAATGCCGGACTGCGGCGGTGGCTGTCCCTGCCAAGGCGGCGGTGGAGCCATTTGCTGCTGCTGCATCGGTTGATACATATTCTGTGGCGGTGGTGGTGGCCGGAGGGCTGGCATGGGTGGTGGAGGAACGGAGCCGTTTGCAAAGGGCCTTGGTGGTGCCACCGGAGCACTGACTGCGCCATTCTGCTGAGGTGGCAGTGTCGGAGGTCCGCTTGCAAACATGGTGTGGGGCCTACTTCTTTGAGTAGTGGGATTACTTGCAGCTAAAACTCTTTCTGCAGTTCAACAGGAAAAAAAAAAAGCATTATTTAACTGCAACAACAACATCAAGCAAATCCAATCAAGGTAGCCAAAACCCGGATTTTTAAATAAAATCTACTAAAATCGTAATTGTAAAACTCATAGGATTTTACATATCCTGCTAATTTAAATAGCATGCCAGAATTTTGTCTCAACATATATAAAGCATCTGCCTTAACATACGCTAAGAATGGTTGTGATTAACTTGGGCTTCACTTGTTTAAAGGAAAAAATGACTTTAGCCCGACAAATGTAAAATTGTTGGCATTTTAACGATTTTACTCCGACACTTGAAGGATTTTGCTTGGATTAGGATTACGGGATTTAACAAGGTAGAGGGTAATATAATCGTAAAATCTTAGGAATTTAGGATTTTAACTAACCTTGAATCCAGTTTCCCCTTATAAAGTCCAAACGAAGCCAAATTTACCTTTGAGTAGGCAACACTTAACAGGCAAAATTAATATTCCCTAGTTATTACCCCAAGCCACCAAGAGAAACGGTTTGACAGGGATAAGTGAGGCTTAAACTTAAACCTAGCAAATATGTGTGTGTGTGTGTGTGTGTGAGAGAGAGAGAGAGAGAGAGAGAGAGAGAGAGAGAGAGAGAGAGAGAGAGAGAGAGAGAGAGAGAGAGACAGAGAGAGAGACAGAGAGGGGCAAAATGACAAGAAAATCTTGCCTGCAGGTGTGCCATGACGCTCTCCCTTGGTGTCTTTCTTGTATGCGTATGAAACTGTTATCTGACGATTGCAGAGATACTGGCCATTCATCGTCTGCAGAAATAAATGCTATCAGCTTCTTCAACAAATGAACTATCTAATTATTAACGGAAAAGGTATAATGTTTCCATGATCTCTTCCAACTCTCTAAGCAATGCTGTTTCTACGATTTGATATAAGTACAATGAAACAGAATGCCCATTTCCTGATTGTAGTCTCACGACGGAAGTGCAAAAGCATTTGAAATTTTCTACTTACATTACATCTAATCAAATTGTTTTCTCACAAGTTTCTTGCCTCTCTTGGTAAAAGAGAAATTCATGCTTCGTATATGATATCAGATATCACAAGGCAATGCTTTCCATGACATAAAAAAAAAAATCATTTTCTTTACAGTCTTGACATTAAAAAATCATTCCTTAATAAAAAGAAAATCATTTCAATCATCAGATCGGAAAGCCTTACCTCAATAGCGGCATCAGAAGCGTCAAAAGAATCATAGCTAATAAAACCAAAACCACGAGAATTTCCAGTCTCTGGATCCCTCATTATCTGCAAATGGTACCAAAATTCATTAACAGCTGCAAATGAAAACCAAATTGTATCCTTACAAGTGATCAATCGGCAAAAGCTATATGCCACTCATCAAAATAGAAACAGAAAATGGCCAATGTGGTTGCAGCAAACAACAGTAAACAATCACACAGCCCCCACACATCTAGATTATAAAGTATCCGAAACCATGGTCAGCTTCCAACTTTTAAACTCTAAAGTGAAACAGAATAAGAAATGTACGAATGCATATAATATTTACGGCACAGGCAAAAAACAAGAGAGATTAATTACCACATAACAATTTCAATACAACCTGGACGAAAACCAATTAATTGATAGTATCAAAAGTTACAGACACAAAAAAAACCATTGGTAGAAATGTCAACGCTAAGACAAACACACGTCTTGCAGTCCAAATTGGTGGTAACAACACCCCCTACCTCACACTGGTTGTAGGAAGGAGAGAGATCAATATGGATGGGTGTGGAGAAAATAAACAAGGACAATATAATCAATATCATTGTTCTTCATTTTCGAAAAGAATAAGAAGCATAAAATTTCTTGAAGATCTATCATGGAGAAACACAAAATTAGAAGAAACTAGCAGATCCAAGGGAAAAAAATTCCAAATAAGAAGCTTGAGTAATAGCCTATTCATATGCAATACAAAAAAAAAAGATGGAAAGATGTGACAATATTAGCTCTCTCCATGTAATTTGGTACAAGAGAGACGAAATCGACAGTGAAATTGGATAACTACAACAGAGAGAGATGAATAACCTTTGGATTTGTAACAATACACCAAAGGCAGTGAAGTGTCGTACAGAGTTTTTCATCACATCCTCTAAACATAGAACAGTTCAGTTGCATTTCT